ATGGACACAGGGCTGGCTCTAACACCACCCCACCCACCCCCGAGCCCCGTTGCTGCCAGCTTCTCAGGCAGCCCTCTCTAACTCTGCTTTTGAAAATATTTCCCACTCTGAGATCCATTCTATCCCTTCTTCCTGCTTTAAGTCTTCCTGGGAGAGTATATCACATCTCCTGTGTATTTGTCAGTAATACAGTTGTCCCCTTATCCTTCTGGATCTGCTTCAAGACCCCCACTGAATGCCAGAAGCCAAAGGCTATATGAACCCCTATACATACTATGTTCCCTCCCTTCCCCTCCCCTTCCTCTTCTCTCCTCTCCCCTCTCCTCTTTTCCCATACACTCACATTATAACAGACTTTGGCCTTTTCTTACAAAACACACTTTAAAGGCCATATTTTGACGTCTCCAAATTGCCAGTGTCAGTATGGCTGTGTGAACAGCCGGTCTGATAAGTAGATGTGTAAGGGGTTGTCCCGGTGGAAGCGTGTCATTGGTGGGGTTGCCCTGGACAAGGCATTTTGTGCTCCCTATGGGATGGTGTGAGTTGATCCTCTCTCCTCAGAGTATTTACAGTCAAAAACCAGGATTTGTTTCTTTCTGCTGTGTTCACTTTAATATTTTTGGACTGCAGTTGGCCGCAAGTCCTTAAAACCATGTAGGTTATTGTTTGTGTTTATAGTATTTCTTTCTCCCCAGCCTTGAGTTCTGTTTTCTGAACTACTGTATCTCTTAGGGTTTTAAGGCCTCAGTGCCTAGCAGCTGGTGTAGACAGTAAGTATAAGTGTAAATGAGAAAAAAAGAATGGCGTGGTTGGTGAATAGTGAGCAGAAGTGTGGCATTCAGGGCCTTTGGTGAAACCTGCCTTTGTCCCCTCCAAGAGCAAACAGCCTCAGCCTTGAAGAACCTATGGGCACACCCAGTTGGGTGTGTTGGGGGAGAGTTGGGGAAGATGCCTGACATGTCAATCGGGCTGGTGAGTCATGGGTCGCCCCTCCCCCGCAATCAGGGCCTGTGTCACAGATACCTTCCCCACTCCCCTTTCATCATAGGCCCAGCAAGCCATCCTGTGAAGTATATTCCTCTTGACTGCTTCTCATGTCTGGTCTTTCAAAGACTGGCTGCTTTTTCACTCTGAGTTTGACTGGGGAGAGTTCTACAGAGAAGAAAAGCATCCTCAGAGCAGATGTGGCGCGCTGGCAAAGCCTCCCCCTCGGTGTGCTTTTGAAGGGAGCCCCTGTGCACGCCCGCTCCTGCAGGCCTCACAGCAGAGCAGTTTAAATAAAGGATCCAGGACCAACGCTGTCTTCAGTGTCTCCAAATACTAAAAACACCAGTCTTTTTGGTAGTCCGCTGCTGGATTCAGTACTCGTGGACTGAAATTTGACCTTACATTTTAATCAAGCCGCTTTTCTCTGGCCACGTTAGCCTAGATTCTCAAACTGGACTCTGTCCTAGGCTGTTGTCCTTGAAATAATGGGTCATTCAGAGCAGTTCCCGGAACTTATTTTTTTTTCCCCAATCCACTAATGGCTCTCCTGCCCTGCCCCCCCCCAACCAGTTAGCGTTGTATCATTCAAAGCCTTTCTTCACTCCTGTTTCCAGCTTTCCTTTGGCCTCTACTTAGAAAACCAAATCTTCCAGCCTTCTGTAAAGTCCCTTAGCTAAAACAAGCAGAGTGAACGCAATGATTCTTGTACTGTTCCCTTGTGTGTCTCTCTGGGAACTATTCCTGATGTTAGAGTTGGTTATTTGAATTTTATTCCTACAGCGTAGCATTAAGTGTGTGCATATAGCTACAACGGAGGTACATCCCAACAGTGGCTGTCTTTAAGACCTCGGTTTGGTGTGAGGTTCCTTACACCTTCCGGGCACATCACTTGGTCTAGATGATGCTTCTGAACGTCCATCCTTGTTTACACAGTTGGACACAGGAAGCGATGTTTAGTGTTTTCTTTCAAGTCCTGACTAATCTCTGTTCTTACAAGTTCCTCTCCTGGACTCTTATCCATCCCATGCCTCACCTCTCCCCCAAAGGTTTGGCAATTCTTAGAAATGGTTTTGAAGGTTCAGAACCAGAGGCTCAGTGATACTGTTTGGTGGACAGGGACCAGGGATGGCTCCGTGATCCACAGAGCACTGGACAAAAATGGTTTCCCTCAGAATGTCTGTGGTACCCAGAGCAGTTCAGACTGCTGTAGCTGACTGGTAGCAGACATCAGAGGGCTTACTGCCTGCCCCCAACAGTACCTTAAAAGACTGATGTATAGTAACTAAATCCTGTCAGTGATCATGTAGTCTTTGAGACAGTTACTCCATTGCCCCCCTCACTTTACAGATAGGAAGTTAAACAACCTGCCTGCCACATTTTGAGTAGAGAAATAGGTTTCAAGGCTTAGTTGCCTTTAAAGCACCCAGTCCTGATCCATTGATCAGCTTAAACTATGCCTTTATCCCTTCAGTGTGAGTAAGAATGCCCATCGGGGTATTAAGATCTAGAGGTAAAATGTCTCCGGGGGAAGGAGACTGACTGTTTGGTAGTCACAGTCTTTGTTTCAGAACCGGGAGCCCTTCACTGGGATGGGGGTTGATGCTCTCAGTTTCTACCACAGGCTGAGGGAGTCGGTGTCTTCCCAGAGCAGGAGAGATGCTCGGACACAGCCCCGGATCTGCTGCATTCCAGCATTGGTGTTTCTCTTCGTTCCCCTTCATATTCCAGCCGTATTGACTTAATCATAATCGTTAGAGCTATCAGACATTTCCATACATAGAGTTGTTTACCTAGAAATCAGCCAGAGAGCACAAATACTTGTGTGGCCAGCCAAGCGCGGGGAGGACCATTGAATGATTAGCGGTTACTGAGACAGGCTTCGCTTTTGCCCTTGGCAGTCACAATGTTGGTGATATTTTTTTTTTACACTGTATTTGTTCTTTGAAAATATCATGCGTTGATAGAGTATATTTTGATCATATCTGTAAGCAGTTTTCCTGTCCCGACTGCCTGCTCCCAAATAACCGACACAGAGGATTAATACTACTTACAAATGCTTGGCCAGTAGCTCAGACTTGTTACTAGCTAACTCTTAGACTTAAATTAACCCATATTTATTAGCTATACTTCACCATGTGGCTCGTGACTTGTGACCTCATTTTCTACATGTCCTGCTTCCTTGGCAGTTGGCTGGTGTCTTCTCTGACTCTGCCCTTCTTCGTCCCAGTGTCCTCAATTTGATTGTCCTTTCTAACTTTATCCTGCCTTGCTATCAGCCAGTCTTTTATTAACCATTGAGAGTAATACATATTCACAGTGTACAGAAGGATTATTCCACAGCACATATCCATCCACCATTAACTCCCAACGCCTTGTTAGAGCTTACTACAGGAATAGAGAAAGTTGAAAATGCGTCTTCCTGATCTTAATAAAAAGGATTTAAACAGGACACAGAGGAAAAGACCCTTTTCAGTCTGCAGATGTACATCTTATGTTAAAGAGAGCATACTTTAACATAACATACTAGCAACTACAGATTGAGGCAGCAGTTTGTGTTCACCTACATCTCAGACATCTCAGGGGCTGACGCATCTACTTCTGTCTGGAACAGTGCAGCTGTATTGTCACCACATCTAAGTACATCATGCTTATGGAGTTGGTAACCATAAAACTAAAGCTGTATTAAATTTAACTGAATTCTTGTTTGCTTGTTTTGTTTTATTGGTTTTGTTTTTTTGTTTTTGTTTTTGTTTTTAGCCATTCTGGAACTTTCCCTGTAGACCAGGCTGGCCTCGAGCTCACAGGACCCAAACGTCACCCAACTGCCAAATAAATCCATGGAGACTTATCTTTACTTATGCATGCCTAACCTTAGTTTAGCTTGTTTCTAGCTAACTTTTCTAAGTTAAATTATCCCATTTCTCTTTAACTACATTTTGCCTCTGGACTTTTTTACCTTCTTTTATTCTATGTCTTTCTTTACTTCTTACTCCTTGGCTGCCTCTGTGGCTGGGTGCCTCTGTTCCCCTGGCTTCCTCCTCCTCTTCTCAATCCTCCTCCTCCTATTTATTCTCTCTGCCTGGCAGCCCGCCTATCCCTCTCCTGCCTAGCTATTGTCTGTCAGCTCTTTATAAGACCAATTAGGTATTTAGACAGGCAAAGTAACACAGCTTTGTAGAGTTAAACAAATGCAACATAAAAAAATGCAACACATCTTTGCATCGTTAAACAGATATTCCACAACATAAATAAATATAACACATCTTAGCCTAATATTCTGGAATACAAGTTATTTTAAGGGGGAAGCAGGGTCAGAAATGGGTAATGGAGTATGTATGATTGGGAGAGAGGAAGGAGACCAGCAAAAGGAGTGACATTGGTGAAGGGGTGTACGTACATGTAAAAATGCTATAGTTGCAACATTGGGGGAAGGATTGGGTTAGCAGGATGGCTCAGCAGGTAAAGGTACTTGCTTCCAAATGTGGCAACCTAAGTTTGAGCCCCATGGACCCACGTGATAGGAGAGAACCAGTTCTGGAACTGGTCCTCTGACTTCCATGTCCCCCTACTCTCTCTTTAAATAAATACAATACGAATATTTTAAATTATCTTGCGTATATTATATTATATACAATATTGTGTACTCCTCCTCTCCTCCTGTCCTGAGCGTCATTCCCTGTGGGGATGGATGTCTGCTACCTTTCGGCCCTGTTCATCCTTCCACACCAAGGTTCAGCATCGCAGGGACGGTTTTTATGGAACTGAGAAAAGAAGTTGTGGAAAGTGGGACTTGGTTTTCGATGTGAATTCGCAGGATGTGTCATCGTTCTGATTTTCAAATTAGACTTAGCACATCGGTTGCATGGAGGAGTTAACAGTTTTGTTTTTGGCAGAGGGAATTCAACCTTTTCCTCTGCACCTTGGAAATTGGCATGTTCTTGTTCCTTTAGGAAAATGCATATAAGAAGTATTTTGAGTAGACACTAATCAATGTCTCCTTTTCTCTCTAATAGGTTTTAAAATGGAACATTTCGATGCATCACACAGTACCTATTTCAGGGCATTACTGGGCCCCCGAGGTAAGGTGGTTTTAGGTTTTGCTCACCATCTTTGGCTTCCCTCCCATCTCTTTATGGCCTCTTGTAAATATTGCATGAGGAGCTCTTAGAAAATGTTTTCTGTGATGAGATCCAAACTTTATCTCCAGTAGCAAGGAGGCATACAAAGTTCTCTTGTAGTTGAATGCTGTCCACTGACTCTGGGGCCAGAGACTCAGCTGCTGTGGCCATCACTCCGCTGGCATCAGCTGCCATGCCTTCAGCCTGGGATGAACAGGGGTACACTTTTCTTAAATCTTGACTCCCTAGAAGAAACCAGGCCAGTACATTCCAAACTTGCATTCAGTCTGACAAGAAGATGCTACCTCCCTTGTAGAGTCCTGAGGGCTGCTTTCCTCTAAAATCTGGGTCTTGCTGTATCACCCAGACTACCTGGAACCCCTGGGGGTCCTCTCGCCTTAGCTACCCAAGAGCTGGACTGTGTGTGTGGCCCACACCCCAACAGAAGTATATGCTGACGGTGCTGGGAAAGAAACCCACGGTTTCATGTGTGCTGGGCAAGTGCTCTATTATTGAGCTATATACCATATAAATATGCCCGTAAGGATTTTTTTCCTCTCATTTTTAAAATTTAATTATCATGTTTATGTTAGCATATGTTAATTTTACAAAGTCATGGGGCTTCATTTTGACATTTCCATGTCTACAGACTGTCCTTGGTTTGTGTGCGTTCTCTCTTGTCCTCTCTTTTGTCCCCTCCCCATCACCTGTCCTCTTCCACATCTCCACGTGCTTTAAGGATTGGTGTCTTTATTTCTAATTCATTTTACTTCAGGTCATATACTTGAAATCCCTTGTTATTATGCTGTTAGTCTTCATTGTCCATTGTTTTTAAGTAAACTAGCTCTGCACAGCCTTTTAGTGTTATAATGACTTTTGAAAAGTGTAACATGAAGGGGCCTGGCTTGTTGGGGTTTCTGTTGCCCACAACCGGCAAGTCCCAAAGAAAATCATACAGAGGACTCCATAAGATTATAAAATTGATTGGCCCATTTGATCTGACTACTTATTAGCTCTTGTAGCTTATATTAAAGCATTGTTCTGATCTATGTTAGCCATGTGGCTCAGTACCTTTTACAGTGGGTCAGATCACATCCTGCTGTTTCGATGGTCTGTGCAGGAGTGGGAAGAATCAACTTCCTCCTTCTCAGAATTCTCCTGCTCTCCTTGCATCATTTCCACTTCCTGTCTGGTTTTTCCATCTACACCTCCTGCCTGGCCAATCAGCATTTATTTAAAACATGATTAACAGATTACAAACAATTCTTCCGCACCAGAAAAGAAGCTTTTGGGGGGTTCACAGAGTTGTAGTAGATATTTTCTGTCGCTGACAGAGTAACTGAGAAGATCAGCTTAGAGGAGCAAAGGGCATTTTGGCTTCTGGTTCTAGAGGTTCCAGTCTGCCTGGGACCTATCATTCTAGGCCTGTGAACAAGCTGACTGTCACTGCTGGAAGAGTGTGGCAGACGGTGTAAGTGCAGACCCAAGGATAGGATTCCCTTCAGAGGGAAGCCTTGTTGGCCTATACTGCCATCAGGTCTCGCCCCCCACACTATTCAGCACCTCTCAGTAATCTAGTCAGCAGTGAACCCAGTGATGGATTCATCCATTAGTGATGTCAGGGGCCTCATAATCCAGTCGTTTCCCCCAAAGCCCTAACTAGGAAGCTGTTTGTGAACATCTTATCAGACCAAAAGATTCTCAGTTTCACTCATGAATTTTAGAGTGCAGAGGAAAACAACCAGAGGGCTTCACCTCTCGGTATGTCAGAGTTGAAATGTGTCTGATACCATCTGTAATGAGGAGAAGGGTGTAGGCAGCCTGACTTGGTGCAACCTTCCCTGACAGGTGAAACGCACCTGACTAGTGCCCCTAGGCTGTTATCCTGCAGTGATTCTTGATGCAGAGACACATGAAGGATGCTCATTGCAGGATTGTCAAGACCGGACATCAACTCGTCTCCCATTCATTAGGAACAGCTTAAACAAGAGGGTGGTCAGACAAACAAAAAACAAGTTAGGGTGGGAGTGGTGGCACAAGCCTGCTGCACTCCTGCACTCAGGAACCTGAAACAGAAGACTCGAGTGTTTGAGGGTAGCACAAGCGAGTGACAAGTTCCGAGACGTACTAAGCCGTACAGCGGGAGACAAAGAAAAAGAGCGGTTAGATGCGTCTGCACCAGCCTGTGTTGAGACATTGACACCTTGGCTGGGAGAGACAAAAACATCCAACTTCTGTTTTGTCTTATTTTTTGAGGCAGGGTTTCTCTGTGTAGCTTTGGAGCCTATCCTGGAACTTGCTCTGTAGACCAGGCTGACCTCGAACTCACAGAGATCCTCCTGCCTCTGCCTCCCGAGTGCTGGGATTAAACGCTGGGATAAAGCACCACCACTGCCCGCAACAAACAAACAGATACATAGATAAAAACCCAACTTTTAATTGTCTGAAATAGCAATAAAAATGATGATCTTATTTTGCAAGGAAGAGTAACTGTTACACAATTTCAAGGGTTCTAGGGTAGTAATCAAGAACCCTGTTCTCTGTGTTTGTCCATTTTGCCACCCTCATCTGAGCAGCTCAGTCCTCAGGATGGCCACCTGTATGGTTGCAGCAGCTTCAGGCTGCTACATCCAACACAAAAAGAAGACATTGGTCCATTGTATGAGCTGAAGAAGAAAGGGTGTTTCACCTCAGAGCTTAGTGGTCACAACTGTCCCACATCACATTTCCAAACTGGCTACCACACAGAGCAGTGAGCTACCATGATCAGCTGGATCCTGGGGAACTCATCGCCTAGGGCTGGGGGTTGGACCAGCTGCTATGGGTACCCTGGGAGATGGGGATGGATACTTGCTAAAAGTATACTATACAAAAAAAACACGACGCTGGACTGAACTTTGAAATGGACATGGAAAATTTGTAGGCAAATGTGTGTATTCGTTGTGTTTATAATATAGATGTACACAGAAGATGTTAGCTGGTAAGCGGTAACTTACGCTTTCCAAACAGACTGCTAAGGGGCAGAGCTGAGAACAGAAGGTGCTGGGATTGCCTTTGTTGCAGCTACTTCCCTGCAGGACTTCTGAGAACTTGCCAGTGCCCTCCACCGCCCCTCAACCATAACTGGTGGGGGAGATGTGGGGGCAGCATCTCTAGCTGGAGCCAAAGAAAGAAAGACACGCTGGGAAGGCTCAGAGTGTCTGCCAGAAGGAAGACTGGCACTTAGTTCCCCAAAGGGAGCATGTGTTTTATTGAGCATTTTCCTTCTCCCTGTGAAGAGAGGCAAAAAATAATGTGGGAGGTGCGCATTACAGTCCGGTCAGAGCACAGGGCCGTAGGCAGTACTAGCAGGGCCTTGGGCCTTGGGGAGAGAGTAAGAGTGGAGTGTCCTCTTCTACACAGGTAGCCCCCATGTGTCATTGTGGTTCAAGTTCCTAGGGTGCTCTAAGGATCTTCCATAGTCCCTGTCTGATCATGGCTGAGCCAATAGCGTCTCATGAATTTTACTCATTGACCCTCTACTGCTGGCCTTGTCATCCGGCACAGTGTCCCTAACCTGGCTACGGGGCACAGCTCGAGCCTGCACATGCTGGTCTCTCACTAAGCTGAAGGGCTTTTTAGTGCAGGCTGTCCACCTGACTCCATGTTAATTCAATAAACATAATAAAGTGGGTGGGTGATTTAGCTTTAAGTTTCTTTCAGGTTTTTTGAAAGCACGTTATTTTACTATTTTACCTAGCAAAAACGTGAGTAATAAATCATTCTAAACCTGTATCAAAAAGCTTTTGCCTTGCTTGATGTGTATCTATATGATTCTACATTGTGTAGACTAAATACAACATTGGTATCAGGAGGCTTTGAGGGTGGGTTTTCTTCTGTGTACCTTTCTAATCACTAAATGTTTTTCTTCCGGTGTTTTTCAGATACAAGGGTGAAAGGATGGTTTCTTCTGGACAATTACATTCCTACGTTCGTCTGCTCTGTCATTTATTTACTCATTGTGTGGCTGGGACCAAAATACATGAAGAATAAGCAGCCGTTCTCTTGCCGGAGAATTCTAGTGGTGTATAACATTGGACTCACCTTGCTGTCTCTGTATATGTTCTATGAGGTAGGTCAATTACTGGCGAGG